TTTCACTAAATTTCAGCTCCTGACGATATCTGGCTGAGCTGATTCATCTGGCTGAAAATATCTCATTATAATGTCTGCTCTCTTTTGTATCTCCTTCGAACTTCTTTTCAAATTCATAACGTGCACTCTCTTTATAAAAATATTTTTATATCCTCAACGGAGGAGAGCGCGCGCCTTCTCGTTTGCCTGGTATGCTCGATTCTGAGCGGCAACCGTCAACAACGGTTATACTTATAATGATTTATTGGTTGAGCCGAACAACATGCCAAATGTTTTCATTCCGATATCTTCTCATATATTCAGTTCGTTTGATCACACACACAGAGAGAGAGCGAGTCATTTTGTGGCCATCGAGTTTCCATTATCAAACTCACACTTTTGGCCGAGGCCAAACTCTAGCCACGTATGTGTACATGTGAGTAGCTGAAGAGTGCTGTGTGGCATTAACAAGCAAACGAAAGACAATGTTACATTGAAAAATAGCTTCGTTTAATATAAAATAATTAATGCGATAATGGACCAATAAATGACAATAATGACAACAAACAAAGCGAAACGAAACGAAACGAATAACAACAACAACAAAAAAATGGCAAATAAAACGGGAAACGCGCGACTGCAAACAAAATGTAAAATGTGGCCAACAAGAATATCTCAACGCTCGTTGCACTCTCGTGCAATTGATTGTGTGTTGAATTTTATTATTACTGTCGCGTAGTCGAACTGCCAGCACTGTCTCTTGTGTACCGCTTGCGTTCTTCATGTTTAGTATGTGCTCCATGCATGTGGCATTCGGATTTGGTCATTTTTGCTCACTCTCTCGTCACTCTTCTCACTATCGCTCTCATACGTCGGGCTTAAGTGCTACGACGAACAAATTCAGAGTAGAAAAAAAACAGCACACGCTGGACACTTTCTGTTAAATCACAACAAAGGTTCGTTCTTTCCACCGTGTATCTCCTTTCTCTGTCTGATTTCCTTTTGTGATGGTTCGATGCCATTCAGATGGCTTCAGTCGGATGTTTTGATTTTTTCTGCCGCACTCTTTTTATTTCTCTCGGGAATATATACATAGATATGTATGTGTGTGTGTGTGTATTGACTCATAAGTCAACGTGTGTGGAACAAGTTGATAAGTTGAAATTGCGTACTCTTTTTTTTCTCCGCATGTCCAGTACATTCGGTGGGATTTTTCACTCTGCACTCACTCTCTCCAGTTCGCTCTTGTTCAATGGGTTTTATTTTTTCAGCGATGACGATATTATAAAAAAAAATTACATTTTTTCGGCTGGTTTCTCGTACATATTTTACACCATATTTTCATTTGCCTACATCTTCTTATGCGATGACCAACAACACATTTTCAATTCAACGGTGTACGCACGTACTTGATTCATTTTCATGTATGTTGAACATATATTGCCTTACACTTACACACCATATACCAATGGTTGGTCGCACACCACAGCCCGTTTGTCTTGTAAATATATATCAAATTCGATGGCAATAAATTTCAATTATGTCAATAATCATACAAATTAATAACAATAAATAAATGTTATGGCGAATTAGGTAGTGTTACAGAAAAATACATTCACCATAAATAAAACGAATGTGACACATTTGGTCAATCGACTCTATACCACATTTTCGAGAGACCTGACTAATGCATACATTCCAATTTATTATTGCTTCATTGACTCAGTGCATCCCGGTCATACTGTTCTATTACGAATTCTATGATTTATACACGCAAAGTGCGCAGTGAAATTCACACAGTGTATTTGGTAAAATGAAAAAACAAACCTTTTACGACAAATTTATCCAAATTATAATTCATCTGAAAAGAAAAAACAACAACGCTTTGAAATAAAATGTTGTCCCTTGATCATTTCGTATATGATACGCAGTGCCGGTGTCAATGTAGTCGACCAGGTTTGCCATTTAAGATAACAAATCAGTTTTTGGCAGACACGGTTTCTCGGAGAAGGAGAGGCGGTGAAGCAGCAAATGAAGAAGAAAATAGGAGAATAAGTTTTTTCCTGTGGCTTCAGGAAGACAAGATTTCTGTCTAAAAATATATAACTCTTTAATTGAGTAGAAGAACTGCTCTTCTCCTTTTACTTCTTGACCATTCCTTTTTCTTCTGTTCATCATTGGAGGTGTCCACCGGATTATCGAATTCGGGGTGGGTTTTTGATATACTCTTTACATAGTTGAATTGATGATTTAAGGAGGTTTGATTTAAGAACGGGATGTGGGAGAATTCCGACTCAAAAACCCTAGCAAATGGAAAGAAATTCTTTCAAAATCACAAAGGGGGTAATATGAAATCTATGACCAAAAGAATTTTCATCCGATTTTTTAATCCGAAAGGGAATCGAATTCGAGTCGAGATTCAAATTTACGGTTATCCAAATTCAAAGCAACCACCATGGATACCACTGTCACTCATCATGCTTTCAACATAGACATCTCATAACAATAGTAAATCTTGCAAATATTCCACTTCAAACGAAACACTGCTTCATATCAAAAATATATTCACATAACATTGGAAATAGATGAACAAAGTGTACTACCGTATATTTTTTTTGCAGTATCATTGCGTTTTCTTAGAAATTGTAATCACTTCAAATCAAAATCTTCCGAATCTTTAAAGTTGATTCAGCCAAAAAATCGCATCTTTTAAATCCATGAATGATACCGGATATTTCAGTCGCCGAAATGTTTTGTAAAGCGAATGTGATGCTAATTGGATTTCATTTTTCAATGTGTTATTGCTACAGTGTTGTGAATTGTGTAAAAAGAAAGGTCCAATTAATCCTGTTAATTCTGCGTTGTTGTTACAAAGCGATTTTACAAAGCGGTTAGTTAATGTGTGAACAGAAGATGAATGCAAAAAGGATTGTTGTAAATGTGTGAGAGGCAAGTGAAAGAGCGAGAGCTGGTTCGACTCGATTTTACGTGAAATCACCTCATCTCATGAATGTTTCTCTTCATTTGCAGCAGATGCCGTAATTCCATTTGCTCGTTGCATTAAGTTCGAGCATTTAAATTGAATTGCACACGTACATTTTCTGCATGAATATTTAAGTTTTGTGCTAATTGCAGCAAATATATTATTATATTATAGCGCGCATTGAGATCGTTAAAAAAAAACGACGACGAAACGATGAAAAACGTACTCAAATTATCGCATAAAAACGCACTACCGTAAACTTTGAAATCGAAACGGATAGTATTTACCAGCTTATTTTTTGTTGTTGTTGTTGTTGTTATTGTTTATGTGGTTTGCTTTGTTGAACGAAGATGAATACAAAATAATCATATTCGTTTATGTGCCATGGTCAATTTAACATTGCCGGTTTCATGGTAATGTGAATTCTTTATTCATCCCATTTTTTTCGTGTGTGAATATCATTCCATTGTTTGTATCGAGAGAGAAAAGATATATATAAATCGAATTGATACAATATTAACATATGTATCTGGATTGTCTATTGTCGCATGCAAGACGAATGATATTGATGAAAATGTGTGTGTGAGATAGAGGGAGAGATGTAGAGAGAGAGATAGAGGAAGAAGGAGAGAGAAATTTGGATAAAAAGACTGTCCCATTTTCTAATGGAATCGCGTGTTTGTTTGTCTTGTTATCTCTTGTCTTCATTTTCTGCCCTTTCATTATGTTTGCCTTCAATTTAAAAGCATTTAATCAAATAAGCCCAATAAACGATGCAAAGCAACGAATTCTTGCAGCAAGAATAAAAAAAGAAAAAAAAACATCACACACACATGTAAAACAAATCAACCCAAATGAAGGAAGAAGGAATTTCATTTTTTTTATTCACTCACCTTCTGGAGCATATACATATTTAAAATGGCCCGCAGCGGTACGCTATCTAATGGACACATCGCTCTCATTTTCATTTACATTTTTTTCCAGTCCTATTCGTTCCGTTTCTCTATCGAAAACAAAATATTAAATGCCGACACTTTTAAAATGCATCAGGTCATTTGATAAGGCAAGTCGTCCAGAGAGGATCGAGAAAAGAGGCGATTACACACACTGAAAGGAACTGCAACTTTTAATAATCTTATAGGATGAAAGAGAAAGAGGCACAATAGAGAGCTAGTGTGTGTGTGTCTCCCTTTCTCTTCTGCCGTCGCCGAGCAAATGTCATGGCATTGTATCACACACGCCATTGAGATTAGATAGATACGGTCAATTAAATAGTGCGTAAATGGATCCTTATAAGATCGACGCGTCGGCCTTTGTTGTGCTACGGTGATGATGGCAACAGAACCGGCAGCCATGGCGTTCAAATGTCTCGTCGAAAGTCAATTTTGCGTATTTACAATCTTCATTTTACTTGTGAATTGACTAAGCTTACAGGCGCGATTCGTTTTTTTTTTTCGTTAATATTTTTTTTTTCGATGCTAAAATGCTTCGTGAAAACACACATGCGAAATGGAAGAGAAAAAAAATATCATGAACTAAACACAACGGAATCTTATGGATCGGGTAAAAAGCAAACGCTAAACATGACAAAAGACCACATAGCTTTTTTCACATTTGGCTAGTATTGATGCTTCGAATAGGAAGGATAAGCGAATAATACACGTGAAAAAAATAACCAGAGAAGGAATTACAACAACAGCATCAATAAGTCCACACAAAAAAACGACAACAATCGAACAACAATTTTGCTTGTTAGTATTGAAGCCTTCTCAACCGCAACCGTAACAACTGAAACACAACGTGTATATGGTATTTTGTATATATATATTAAAGAGTACACACGGTGATGCACACCGAAGCAGCAATAGGTGGAAGCAGCAAACAGCGCGCTACCAAATAAACCAAAAACGAATACAGAAAAAAGCAAAAGAAACAGAAACGTACACGGACAACACGAACGAATGTGTAAGCATTGCAATATGAAATTTTTTTCGACCGTTGATTCTAGTTCTAATTTGACAATCGAAGCGAACGAACATACAATCCGTTTGCCCCCCCAAAAAAAAAATCATAATATAGAATACCTAACATTACAAAACGAATAAGTTTTGATTTACGTTTTTGAATATCGTGTTTAAAGAATATTGTGTTTAAAACCGTTTTTTTTTTTCAATACTTTTCTACACAATATTTTCCGTCATATAGAATAGTGCGTGTACGAAATCAACAAAACGAATCGATGAACAACAAGCAAGGATTAGAACGTGAATTTTGCAGAAAGTAAGCACAAAAATTCAAACAAGAATTTTTAAGAAGAAAAATAACATGGCAAAAAAAAACAATGCGTTCGCTTCTCTCTTTCTTTCATTGAATGCTCGTTCTTTCAAAAATATCGTTGAAACAATATCGAACATTTTATTTGGCTTTTAATGCTCGACATTCAAAATGTTAGTCAAGTTTTTAAGAACTCATTTTATTTGGTTGACATGTGAAAATATTCAAAATATGATCGAACTCATTCTTAGAAGCTATGAAAGAAAATCAAATCAATCGAATGGCAGAGCATATGCGCTTTTTAATAAATTCCTGAACATTTCTTTCCTGTGAGTCTGTTTGAATCAAACATTTGAAATGCCATACATTTTGAACGAAATCCTTAATTTTTTTCAATTACTCGCTATTTTTCAATGTTTCTGATATTCTTCGAATTGAAAAAAAAAAATGAAATTATTTAAACCATTTCATTCACATGGTTTAGTTGAATCATTCAGAATAATCATGACAATCGAGTTTTAACGAAATTGAGGTGTTGTGAGATGCAGATATTTGTGGATGCCATGTCGAATCACATGAAAATTACATCCTGAACAATGATGTGTGACATTCTTTTTGTAACCAAAACAATGTCCGTGGTCTACAATCGATTATATAAGCAAATTATCGTGTCTTGTTTAAAAAAAAAATAACAGTCACTGTTACACTTGGATTATGTGATTCTGCAGTAGTTGCTGCTTCTGCTGCCGTTACATTATCGTTGAATCGCGGTATATCGATACTCAATTACTAGCCAAGCAACAAAACACTTCATCGACATTGCAGAATTGCAACAAAAAAACACACAAATTGCAATGGGTGCTGAAAACCTGAGAGAGAGAGAGAGAGAGAGAGAAAAAGAAGAGACAAGAGAAAAAAAATATATAATCATAAACATAAAATAAAGGCATAATAAAGACAACGATTTATGGTACTTCTGATTGGGTTGCGCTAATTGAAAATGATTATTATAATTGGAAATTTATTTTAACATTTCGTTCTCAAGACGCAACTCTTAAATTGATAGAGACAAAAAAAAACCACATTCACATACACATGCATCTCGTATCGAGCAATACAACAAGAAAAAAATACTATCTAATAAAAAAGAGTGTAAGTTGTTCGTCTAGTGCACCAGCAATTTGAATTCGAATTGAAAATCGTTATGTGAATTTAATTATAGATGCGATGCAATTTTTCGCGATGAGTTTTTTTTCGTCTAAATTTTTTTTATCATCAAATGTGCAAAGTATTTTTTTTTTGTCGATGGCAATTTTTAAATAGTTGCATACATTCATGGGCATCACTCGAGTACATTGTATAATTGAAAAGCTAATCATTTTTTTTTTTGTCTTATTCATTTGAGCGAGCAAAAAACTCGAGAATGAAAAAGATTAACAATAACAAATTAGACGCCTACTGACATTTTCTATTGAAATTCTTGTGACAGCGATGAGTCAGGTTTTTGCATACAAGTGGATTTGATCGATTCGTTCGCAATTTTAATTGTGCCCTTATAATACAATTAGAAAGAAAGGAAATAGATAAAATTCAAGAAAGTGGGTTCGCATCATATGAAATGGAGTCATTTGTTTTGTAAAACCTGTCTAAATATACAATTCAATCATTTCAATCAAATGATAACGGTATCTCTTCAACACTTTTCTTAAAATCTATGCAAATCGAAACAACCAGTTGCCCAATTGCCCCGTTTTTTTTTTTTAATATTGTTCAGTCATGTGTTTTTTTTTTCATTCATCTTCTGATGCAACAATTTTACAAACAAACAAAAAATAGTGTGCAACATACAAAGTAGCTATAAAATGTAAGTTCGAAATTCGAATCGATTCAACAATGTAAAATGCATTGAAATATTTGTGCGAATTTTTGTTGCTGTTGATGCAGCCAGTCACACCTCTGAAATAAAAACAACCTGGTCACTTCATCATCGTGCATTTGCCACGAATTTATTGATTTTCTTTATTTAAAAATGCATCTGGTTGGCTTGCATTGGGATGCATGTTGTGCAAATTGCGCGGCATGACAAGTTGACGACTTAATGATGATGACCCGTTGATAAATTGACACGATTCAACATTTGCAACATAAATCATGTGCAAATCACAAATGGTACGCCCCTTGCTATATTCATGCCAGCGAAACCGCATTTTTTTTTATTAAGTTGATTGTTTAAAATAAAACATCGCAATTGGTGTCGTTTGGCACACACAACGATTTTTGTTGCTGTTGCGATTGTTGTTCGATTCGGAAAGGGGTTAGATTTGTTGTCATCGTCTCAACAGACATATCAATATGTTTCTTTTTTTTTAGAAAAAAAAATAACAATCATCAAAATGCAAATCGAAATAAAAAATTGGTTAAATTTAGACGAATTCAAATTTCCTAAAATAGAAAATATTATATGATAACGATTAATTAAATAATGATAATGAAATTAAAGTTTTTTTTTTTCACTGTCATTATGAGCATGTTTTGACATTTGATTTGTTTTTAGTTTTGTTTTGCAATGCATTGTTTGAATGAATACAATTAACCAAAACCCTTTGACACAATCGATATTAACTGAAAATTGAGTTAGTTAAATAGTTTTGATTTTTCAAGTCATACATTTGTTCGCTTTGTTTAATCTGAAGAAGAATCATAGATCATAATTCGAATCGTCGGTACATTCAAATGAAATATCTACTTCAAATTAGACCGAATTGCCTTTCACTCTTAATAAAAATGATAACGAAGGTTTCTCTTCGGCAATACCATTGTTGCTTGACCGCCATTGGTGTGGTCTGAATTCATCTTTTCAACCATTTTTATTCCTTTTGTTTTAAATTTTCTTAATTTGTTTGTGTGTATGTGTTTGTCTTTCGAATGTGATTCACAACGCAGTAGTGGTCAGAGAAAAAAAAAATGTTAAAACATTTTTTCTTGTGTTATCAAGCAGTGAGCGATAATTTTTGATGATTAAGATAACGACAAAAAAAAAGCAACACCGTAAAAATGAATGGTCCACAAAATTATAAATAGACATTTGCGAATGTGGAAAAAAATGTATATTAGACACAAGTTGGTCTAAATCACATAATCAAGAAATAAAACGAGATGTAATATCTTCATCTTTTTTTGAATCATCCGAAAATATAAAAAAAAAAACATAGACTCATAGTGAGAGAGAGAAACACATAAACACCATGGAAAAGAGATAGAGAAAAAATCGCAAGTGGAAAAGGGAAAATGACAAAAAAAAGAAACAAGATACACGTACGATAATTAGGAAATGATCAACGCGAGATAAATATTATTTGGTGATTTGTTCTTCTTATTGCTGACTCTTTTTCTGTTTCTCTCTCTCTATCTCTCTCTTTCATACACACATACACTCTAACAGACAATATCTGGATGAACTACCGAAAATAAAATGCTGACCGTAGATAGTGTTTGCGGTTTCATTGTGGCATATATAAACCGGCTCAATTGAAAAGTCGTGCAAATGAAGCATATGCTCTTGACTAAGGTGGATGAGATTTGGCTCTTTTGTGCACGGTATTTTGGTTGATTGTTCACCGTCGCGCACCATTTTACAATCGATGCGGTGTCAGTCGACGAAGAGAAAACGCGAGAAAAGGCCGTGTTTTTTTCCATCATTTTTCTCTTGTTCTTGTGCGCACAATCAACATTTTCAAATCAAAAACTTGTAAATTAATAAAAGTGTCAGTTAATTATGGTCAATTCGAGACAACGATTTTATTAATTGAAACTCATTTTTTCTCTTTTGTTTCTTTTTTCATATTAAAATTTTATAGATATTCAACAACGAGGTGTGGAGAGAAGTAGTTCGTGAACACGAAGAATTAAGAAAATAGTAAGACATTCAGCACCAAAGATTGTTGCAATGACAAAACGTTTCCGATAGTAAATTTGAAAAAGAGGCAGCACAATTAATTGTGCAAGAGTGAGTGTAATCAAATGTGAGTGTGAATGTGTGTTTTTTTTTATTAATTCGCTTCGATTTGGGCTGGAGCTGTTGAAAAATGTATGACAAGATGTGTGATGCAGCGGCAGTCCAGATTTTTTGAAAATGATAATGAAGTGTTCATTTTCAACGGCGATCAAGTCACGACATATCGTTTATTTTAATTGGATTAAAACAAAGTGTATGGGAAAATGTGCGCAATGTGCCATTTTCAACGTAGAATATAGTGCAAGTAAGACAGAAAGGGAGCTATTGAAAAGAAAGCTATTATCGAATCAGTGAAAAAGGAAACAGCACCTCAATGTAAGCAATGTCAATAGAATAAAAAAAAAATAATAATAATAGTAATAAAAACAACGACTCCCACATTAATTTTATTTATTTTATTTGGGTGCATTTATTTTGGTTTTAATTTTCGCGTAAATTTTAATTGAAAAACAACGTCACCTGGCCTATGGAACATTAATATTGTATTGGCAAAAGTTGCGCAGACAATCAATATTGTGTAAATTCAGTTATTTAACGTCTCACACGGTCATTTGTAATAATTAAAATAAAACAAGTCAAGAGAGAGAAATAAGGCGAGAACGAGTGAAAATAATGATCACACAATAATCGTGTGAATAAAGTGTGTGCGCTCTTTTTTTTTGAGGAGAAAACCAACAGCAGCAACAACAACAGGAGAGTTTCGAATGCCAGTGTGTATGTGTTTGTGTGTGACATCGTGTGAATTATTCGGATAAAGTGAATAAAAACGAAAACAAAGAGCTCCAAACAACAGCGACATACATTAATAATGCCAAATCGATGAGATGAAAATGAGAAACAATCGACTGTTTCTTGGAGTTGTTCTATTCGCATTTAGAATAAGGTAAATATGAATCAATTCTATGGTATGATGGCAGATTTATATTGCGGTTTCATTTGAATTTTCGAAGTTGCTGGCAATTTTGCAATTGCTTTTGCTCCGATCCGATTATAGATTTTTTTCGTTTCGTATTTGAAATGTACGAATCTTCTTTCATTGGTCCATAATTATTATTGAAATAGTTCGAATTTTTCTTGTACATATGTATAACTATCTGCAGGGCAAAATTGAAACGTGCAATGTGCCGCTCTTTTTGGCGTACACGCGCGCACATACGCTATATCGTTCGCCATCACGCAACAACACATGCGAACGCATTTCAGCTCCATTTCCCACAAAAGGTCGTGCTATTATCATCCCGATCCCAAAAAGATCAAACCAAAATGCAAACGATATTGAGACGAGTGTGGCATAAGAGAGAAAGAACGATCAAGCGGGAACGAATACAAAAAAGCCACAAACAAAACAAAACGTGACTCAAAATTATTATATTATGAGTGGAAAGATTCATAATTGTTTACGAAATCCTTTTACGCTTCAATGTTGAAAATATTCGCCTTCTCGCCAAATAAGAGAAAAAGAGAAAAAAATAAACGATGAACGAACACGGCCAAAAATTGCTCCATGGAAATTTGTACAAATTGTCACATCAGACGAATGCGTGTGAAAGTTGGCTTTGAGATATACTTTACTTCCTCTACTCATTTCTCAGAAAAAAATATATATGAAATCGTACCATTGTGACCCGAAACAGTCCGATGCAATTTTTTTGGAATCTTGAATGACCACGTGTTAATTCAAACAACTACTGTATTATCATTTGCCAATCTCAACCGCCAATATTCCACTGCACTTCAAAATTTAATTTTATTGACGAACAAAACTAAATTGTATTGATGTAGTGCGGTGTTTGTGCGCGAGCTCGCAAATCTTTACCATAAAAACATTCATAGATACTATCTTTGACTTAAATGTTCTGTTCAATAGCATTGTGTCAGAGAACAAAGTCAGCATTTTGTTCGCTGAACGAACAAAAAATCGAAGAAAAATAGAGCCGAGCTCGACTATGCCACATACAGAAATAATATAAGGATTTCTATGCATTTTTCGTGCAAATGCATCAATATGTGGGCGTTTAACATCATAGATTCTGTCGTTGCGTGCTCTTTTAGGTTAAGATAATTTAACCTTTAGCAATTCCCTTGCAGACTGGCTGTTTTTTTTTTCTTCATATTTTTCGGAATTCACTTTAAGCGTTTCGTTCATATACTCCAATATCCCAGAGCAAATATGCCATTTCCATTTTCAAGTTTTTTTCTTCTCTCCTCTATTTTTTTAATGATTATATCTTTTTTTCTGACATCTTTTCTTTAATTAGAAATAGAAAATTTGTGTGTGCACGGCGGTTCGGTCCGATTTCATTGCTAAACATCATTTCAAGGCAATTTAAAAGCATTTAAACGATCGATTCGACTGAGTTCCATAAAATTTTATGAGATTCGATCATAATTTCATATCGTTCAAACAAATATTTATAATGGTAATCGACAAAAATTGGCATTTCATTAAAAGAAGAAAGAAAAAAAATCCAAGAAACTCTTGCTCTTTCTTGCCGCTTGCGTGTCTGTTCAAAGCTAAAAAAATATATATTCGATGTTACAATCTTGTTCTGTGAAGAACGAAAAAGAGTGTAAACCCATTTTGTTTTCGGTATTTTAAATGTGGTTCCCATGAAATAAAACGATGACGAAGATTTGATAGCACGTTTTGTGATACATCAGGTAAATATTTGTGAAGATATCATTTTTGTTCCGTTGGCCCCATGATTCATTCATTCGCTTACTCACTCTTGGCAACATAGTAACCACACCACTTTACGGCTATGACAGTTGCAACAGTTATGGCAATCTTTTGGCCATCTCGATATCAACATTCAGCCATTCATCATCTTATGTTTATGTATAGTACATGGGTTTTTTTTTGCATCTTTTGCGTATTCATTCTGTGTATTTTTTGTTTGTCTGTGCCACTATCTCTAACTCTTTCAGAAAGCTCAATTGAAATATCACATTGGGAGCGCTTTAAATCAAGCACAAACAAGAATCGTTAGCTTGAGGCCGTATTTTAGAAGAGGAGAAACAAAAACAGACAATATGTGCACGCGCACACTCAGTGACGTCAATTTCAATTTAAGTTTCAGGCCATATTATCGCTGGTGAGCCTTGGTAATTGACTTAAACCGATTACAAACCGATAAAATTCACTTTCGCCGCACTTCAATATGTGCACATAAATTCACTCTCTATTGCACAGCAAGCTGACTCTTTCTATTTGGCTCTAAACTTCCGCTAATAGCACATTTATCATTCGCGACCGAAAAAATGTGAATGAATATTATATGTACATATAAATCCTGTCGCAATTACATTGTCACAGAAAGAAAATCCAATTGAATTTGACTTAAATGGCTTTCGAAGCATAGTTGTGCTTCTGATGATTGTTGCTGCTTTAACGAGAGAGATAAAAAAACACAACAAACACAACGAAAATTGTGTGAGTTTGAACGATTAATTTAGCAATAAACAAAGCAGCAATATGAATGACAAACGGCTTGGAGGCATGTATCTGTTTTTTTTTTTGGTGTGTATGTGCATGACCACCAAAGAAACGGCATAAATCAAATTCCAAATGATCATTGCAACTTGGCGTATACGATTGTTGTTATTGTTTTGTGTGTGTTGATTTCGTTTAACTTGAACATAAACTGGAATTGTTTTTTGAATGGAGTTCTACTTTTTTCTTCCACTTTGAAAATACATTCACTGCAAACACTTTCGATAAGATTTGCGATTAATTCGTTTCAGTTTTTATGCGCAGAAGGCGAAAAAAAAAAAGATACAAAAAAACAATTTTTAAATTTATGAAATTTTATCAAAATCCAAATACACGGCAAGATTCAAGCGATGAGAACGTAAAACAAAAGACATGTTTTACTGCATAAGCGACAAGCCTACTTATTTTTCTCGTACACTCTGTCACCAACATTTTTGTGGGTACGAAATTTTACGAATATTATCAGTGATGATCGGTATATTGTGGCACTGGTGAAAGAGACAGAGGGCGAGAGCAAGAGCGAGATAGAGATAGAGAGAAAGAAAATAAAATGCATCGTTTGAGAATTGGAGAAGTCACCACATATATGATTTGTTAGACTAGGTAAATGTGCAAAGACACGTACAATGCGACATTTGTTGGAATCATTAAATAAAATGTGATTTATATATTATTTGTTAAGTGTGTGTGTGTGTGCGCAAGAAATTATCAGTGGCAAAGAACTTATAATTTGTGCACGGCAGTTACGTCGTAAAAATATGTGGCATGAATGAAAGCAGATGTATGGCCTGCGATAAAGTTAAACTAAAAGTCGCATTGAATTTCATGCGCAACAACAGTTTTTTTTGGACAATTTGCGTGTGTTCGGTCGTCATCGTCGATCAAGTTCACAGATCCTTTCGGCGAATAATTAACAATGAACGCGCGAACATAATAGCGAACCATTAATTTCATACATTGTACACAATTAAATGATGCCCTTATTATATTTGAGTTTTAGCGCATTTTGCGTGCAAAAGACGAGGGAGCGAGAACGAAAAGTGAGTGATCAAGCCACAAGACGTCGTAGAACACATTCTGAGTGTTAGCTGAATATACACATCAAAGGAGAGTAAAAAAAGAAATAAATGGAATCGCGATGACACATTTGATTTCTTGTTAGCGCATGGAAAACTCAGAATCACAGCGGCAACATAGCAAATGAACAAAAAAAAACACACACAGTATCATATTGTGTGTGAATTCACACAAAAACACAAATACAATAGCCTTAATAGCTATGTTATATATTTATAATTACAAGCATTTGGCCAATTCCATAGTAATTCTTGAGTAATTCATAGAACATGATATTGTTTAAAAAAATACAGCACCGAAAATGAGAGAAAATCTCTCTTGTGTGAGAGATCCCCTTCTCTATTTAAGTCTTCTCAGCTCTCTTTCTCGTTCACAGCGCGCGCGCTCTCTCTCTCTTACACTCTCTCATTCAACTTCCCTTTTGTATGCACATTCACAGAACAAATAGAAGAGAAGCAACAAAAAAAACGACAAAATAAATAACGATCGCAATCGTAACTTCATATTGATGCGCCACTGTTACAATTTAATTTATATCCTGAGCATTCTCTTCTTTGCTCGCTTATTCAATTTTTTGTGTGCTGTTGTGTGAATTGTGACGAATATGCAGTCATTTTGGTTGAGACTAAATGCCATTATATTATGTGTTGTTCGCTTTGTCTTTCTGTTACCATAAATCCAGCCAAAGAATAATGAAAAGAAATAAGAGGAATTAAACATGTACATTTCATGAAAAACATGATATATGAGACATTAAACATGATCTTTTTATTATTTGTTATTGTTATCGTCTCTGTGTTTCATTCTTTTTTGGGCTGCTTTCGGTTGTTGATGTTAGTTTACCTATCTCTCTCTCTCTCTCTCTCTCTCTCTCTCTCTCTCTCTCTCTCTTTCTCTCTCTGATTCATCTCTACGTATACAAATGTATTTAATTCAATGTATTATTTTGTGTTGAAATTTTTGTCTAAGTTTTTGTTGGTTTTACTTTCGGGATGGTACAATTTTGGATTCATTCAAAACGGTTGAAGCTGGCATGAGTTGCTCTGAACTCAAATTGAACTTTATTTCTGCTTGAAAACGATGAGCGCAGTTTGTTATTTAGTAGTTCAGACTTATGAATAGAGCCGTATTCGTGGTTGTTATTCGAAACAAAGATCAATTTAATACGGCTATGCCCCGAAGGAAGTCACCGATTCAATGGAATCAACTCTTCAATGTATTCAGACGATTCCGATCAAGAAAATGAAAATGCCTGGGATAATTGGGTTGCATCTCGAATGTCTAATGGCAGGTCCCCTTGTCGTCGATGCGGCCGTTTTTCTCTTATTCTTTCTTCAATTTGATTGCTCTCTCTCTCTCTCTCTCTCTCTCTCTCTCGGCGCGCATTTAATTAAACGATGAAAGCCAATTATTTATTTTTAAAATCTCATCAAACGATAAAATGAATATAATAATGTAGAAAACGAACGGTGAAATTCGGTTAAAATGTCTCTATTTGGGCAGATCAAGCCGATTCGAGTGAGTGAACGAACAAGCAAGACCACCAGCTAGGCCAAATGTCGCCGATTTGTGACTTATCTGCCAATGCACAATTCGCTCTCTCGCTCTCTCGCTCTCTCGCTCTCTATCTCCGTCTTCCTATCTCACATCTTCATGTGACTTTCTTTCGACATTAACCTCTTTCATTAACATGGGAATTGTTTTGTGTTCGTGGTCGCGAGTGCGATGACAGCAACTAAAAGAAAACAAAAAAAAACGTTGTTTTTATTGCCATTTCAGCACTTGAGGAATAAATAGAGTTAAACGTTTGTTTGTTGGCGTTTCGTACATGTTATGTTGTTGTTGTTTTTTTTCTCTTGGTTTTCATTCTGGTGCCGTTTGTATTCTTTGCACAAACAAACACACGGCGCGCTCAATTCAAATTCGTTGACAATGTCTTGTCGTATGCAATGTTGTTTTGACGTTTGCAAGCCTAAACCATGAAATTCAATCGAAACATCGTTTCCAATTCACTTCGTTTCCACCCATAAAAACAAAACAAAAAAGAACCAAATAAACAAACAACATACAATAACAGCCAATGCTTTGATGCCTCTTATGGCATATTATTCCAATTTATGATAATCGGCGTTTAAATGTTGTATTAATTGAGTTATTTAATTCGACTCCCCGTCGTGTAAACACATAATCATCGCAGGTGGTATAAATGTTTCAGTTAGCCACACACATACATGCATACAATCAACATCTGTACCGTACGCAAGCGCGAGCGCATTTAGTCTTTTTTTTTTTGCTAATTCTCGCGCATGTACATTTCAGTTTCACAAATTCCCTCGATTATTATCTCAGTATCTCTTTCTCTCTCGGTCTCTTTGCATTCAGGTGAACACAATACGTCAATTGTTTCCGATGGGCAAAGATTGATTTGACAACACACAGTTTCTCACATAAATAAAAATTCATCGTCGGCAATATTGATTAAAAATGACGACATAGTCCCTTTGCTATTTCTAGTATAAAAACATAAATTATATCAATTAACGCATAAGATGGAAATTCTTTAGATAAATCAAAGACTCATCAGTGTGGAATACATTTTTTTTTCTTTCGTCTTTTTTTTTTCAGAATCGTATGCAGTTTTGCGTCATCGATAATTTGCAGCCGTGTTCCTGGTTTGACACAAGCCCAACGGCAATTGTGCAGTGAAGCACCCGATGCGTTCATTGCACTTGGTGATGGTCATATGCTTGGTGCCGAAGAATGTCAATATCAATTTAAAGGTAAACCAAAAATGAACAATTTCTGGCACATTTTTCAAAAACTCAATCGCCGAAATTCAATGACATCGCAGAAATGGTTAAGACATTTCGAAAACTAAACGAAGTAAAACTTATCACTCAGTTCGAGAAGAGAGTTTGTGTTTTTTTTTTTCGCTTTTGATATCAGAACAACAACTTTTAATAGCTACTTGAAAGTAAACAACAATTGAATAAATTTTCAATAGAAAATTTTGCACTATCGGTATTTAACCCATGGGCAAAAGTACAAGTGAATGAGATTTGGGGGCCCAAAGTTGGTAGAAATCCATAATCATCCAAAAATAACAGAGACTCTGGCTTCTCGGAGCTCTCCTCTCACAGATGTTGCTTTGAGAAACAGTCTCTGAAAAATAGGTAAATCGACATTCAAAATCAATCTTCAATTGCGTGCCACACTTTACGCTCTCCTCAAACTGAGCAATGGAAATTTTATTTAGTTTCCGAAAAGAAACATGATTTTTTCTCCATCTTAACGTTGTCAATTATCGAGAATTAACCATCGCAAAAAAAAATGTAATGTCGATACATTTTGTTAAATGCTTATATTCGATTTGCAGGTCATCGTTGGAACTGTACACAAGTTTGGAAAAAAGATGTTTTCTCACACATTGTCATTGTTGGTAAGTAATATTTTGTGTTCTCCTTTTTTTCTAAGTGCTTCTCTTTCTTTCTTTCTCTTTCACACACATATTGGTTGATGAGAGACTGAAACGCAGCGGTACATGCTCTGGCAAAACACACACACACACAGTGACCGATGCCCACACGGCTTACATCAAAGATCACTTTTTGACCATGTTGCATACACAGAGCGAGAAAATCATTTGTTTTAAAAGCGCTTTTAAATATTTCTGTTCTCTATGTGTTTTTGTTGTTGTCTTCATTCGATCTTGAGTCACAAACACGCACATGTATGTGCATACTTGAGCATTTCAACCGACAACGAGCGCCGCTGCCGACTGATCATTTTTATTTCTTCATTAATTGTTTCGCATTCTTTTTGTATCGTTTAACTCTCATCGGCCTCTTTTTTAATTGCTGTCATTGGCAAGTAGAGTAGCACGAAAATTAATCAATTTCGAAAGATTTCTCGGCCACTCTCTTTCTCTCTCTCTATGTCTGTCTTTCACTACATATTTGCTTTCAACCAATTTAATGATCGGTTGGACAAAATCCAAAGTGAAATGTGCGAAGCCAACATCAAAGCAATTCATTAGGTACACCTAAGTAGCATATTGCTTCATTCGAGTGACGATAAATCAATCAGATACAATAAATCTTGAGTCGGTGATGGGCTCGCACCAACCTATTGTGATTTGTGAAAACACTTTCTGACTTCAAACTGACTGCCTACATTTGGTGCGTGTAATTTTTGAGTTGTTGTTTTTTTTTCACAACTGTTATTCTCTTGATTGAGCAGGAGGAGTGAGAAATCAAAACATGCTTTACAAAAATCACATATCGCCGACAATCAAATAAACCGGCATTCGAACGACACAAAACAACCAAATGACTGTGGTTGCATTTTATCTTTCTCTCTCTCTGTAAACGTAATTGTACGAAATGAGAGAAAAAACCGCGCAAACACAGAGCATAGATGTGAGTATATAAAAGCTTTTGTCGCCCACCAACGCATTGCTTCTGTTTGCCCATAAAAAATTATTAGATTTTAATTAAAATGCACAAGAATCGAGTGAAGAAGAAGGGAAACGCTCACACCTAAAAAGGCAGTGCATGATATGATAAAAAAAACGTCAACGATAGAGTTGTAAAAATTGAGTGTTGTTGAGAGTGTGAGAGATATGGGTGCATTTTGTTGGACACACAATTCGCCCGAGTGGAAAAAAAGTGACTAAGTTACTATTGACTGTAAGTGACTATAGTTAGCTATACTCAGTCAGTCAGGCGATTATTTTGGGACGTTTTGACTATCGGGTGACTATGATTATTGTCAACTATAGTTAGCTGTTGCAGTTAACCATAGCTTACTTTAATTGATTGAAGTTAACTAAATTTAACTAAGGTTGCTTGTTTTTACAGTCAATAGTCAGTCAGTTTGTCCCAAAATAGTCAGTCACTTTTTTTGTACACGGGCAGTTTTAAATCAAGTTTCACGAAGAAGAAAAAAAAGCAGTTGCTTACATTTCAATTTTCTCTGACCAATTGCACTGTATCGACTGATTACACATGTACGTATGGCGCAGAGAATATGATGCGGCTACCTTTTCGACACATTCACACTCGAGACTCTAATTGATGTTACGGAACATGCGGATAACAACAGTAACCGTACACCAACAAAGTAACAATCCTTTTATCATAAATTCCATGTGCGGAAAATGAATACGAAACGAATACACAAATATGAAACGTTTGCAAATGACAGTGATAAATTTTGTTGAGAAGTGGACTGGAGCGGGCGAACCAGACTTCGTTTTCTTTGTACCTCACAACACACACGCAAAAAAAGAAAAATAATCTGGTAGCACATGTTGTTCCGTGTTCGCATTTTGCAAATAAACAAAGACGTTTTCATTTCGTTTCGTTTTTTTTTTTTTCATTTGTTAAATGGTCGTTCTCTTGCCACCCGACACACGATGATCGAGATGCGACAATTTATGCACGACATTAATCTCCAATAAATATATAAATTTTATTTGCCCATCTAAATTTTATTTTATCGAGAAAACTTGGATGCATTCAGAATGCAAAATTACCTTCACATTGAAAGAGCTAAAAGCACGGATGAAGGATGGCGAAAAAAAAATGTATGGACCTTTGTAATCGAAATAGCTTCTGGTCAGCCATGGCAACAAGGATGCAACAGGCCATGAACTACACTTTGACTGGTGCATGTGGTGGTTTCCGTTTTTCTGTTTCTCTCACAGTCGTCGCGTTGTTATTTGTCCGATAATGAAATATGTGCATTTCGGTTGCGTGCATGACAAACGCAAAGATTTATTACGGATCACCTTGATTATATAATAATCTAAGATTGGTTGGTCTCGTGATTGTACCTCTTAACGCAGCATTCTACATGAATTTCTTTGAGAGTTTCTTTGTTTACTCTTTCTCTCTGTATTTCTCTTATTCGCCGTTGTTTTTTAAATGTATTTTGTGCTGCTCAAAGTAACCATTGAATATAAGGCTGTAAGGAGAATGCACTGCATTCCAATGAACATTTCAACTCATTTCAATATAATTAAAAAGAAAAAAAAAACGCCATTTGCAGCAAAATCAATTCGAATAGTTTGGTTCAATTGTTTATGATATGACAAAATGGATAAAAAACCAATGCTTCCAATCGCTGTGGAGGCAAAACCCAAACGTATCGTTGGTCTTGCAATGAACGAAATATAGAAAATAGTCATGCTTTCGCACGAACATAAATGGTGATGCGCCAACACAAAAGATTCATTTATTGATATGCGAAAAAAGAGTCTTTTGTACGATTGTGCGCCAGCACGTACTCACGAAAGGCGAACCGAGGGTAAAATCAAATCTATTTACTTTATGAGCGTCACGATGTGAATTGGCTGCCTTATAAATAAATAAATGGAAGTGAACCACACCAATTAATGAAATTCAACGAAAACGAAGAATATTACGAACAACAAAAAAGAAGCGGTGTCTAGCTTAAATGTGCATTACTTGATCATTCTCATCAATGCGATAACGGCCACACAAACAAGCGCCTCAATATGTGTTTGGAAACGATCAAAATGATCGAGTACAACACGAACACACTTATATTTATATAAAAAAAACAATGACGATAGAGTATAGAATCGCATGAAAAAAAAAACACATCGCCCAGCAATTAATTAAAATCCAATTAAAATTGGCGGCCGGCTTTTATACAGACATAAAAAAGTGTTCGTTCTTACTTCAAAAAAAAAAAAAAAAAAATATATAGAATGGTTTATCAGGTTTTTATACGAGTATATGAGAGATCGTCAGGCATCTTTGCACAAAGTGAATCTTTGCCAAAGATTCTTTGCATGCATTTATTTTGTAATCGCCATAAATACACTCTTCATTTCAAATCATGAGACAATAATAAATAAATGCAGAAGAAACAACTGGTTGGTTCTTGAACAATGGTTCTTCAAGTCTGTTTTCATATTTGGAAAATTATGAATTTCAATGACTTGAGCCGTTTTAACGAAGTTCAAAGTGTAAAATTAACTAAGAATTTTTACAACATTTCTAAAAAAAATCGATGTTGATAATTTCAAAATTCTATCTTGTTATTGAGAATTAACGAGAAAAAAGGTCATCAATTTTAATTTTTTCCAGAACTTCTATAGCCAGGTGTGAGAAGTTTTCTAGTAAGAGCTACTCTTTCTTGTATTCAGGCGCCGAACTTCAAATTCTAGGAGTTTCCGGTTTTTTTTTTTTTTTCAAAAATAATGACTTTTTTGAAGAAATCGGTCCGAAAATTGAAAAAAATTACTTTAACGTATTTGTAACATTAACAAAATGCATTTGATCTCAAAAATTTGTGAGGGGTGATAAATCCAGACATGTTCAAGTTTAGGTGGGTGTAAATCCATATATGATGAATAAGAACATTTTTTAATTTCAAAATTAACAGCAAACAAATCCAAATCTTTAAAAATAAATAACAGATTGTAAACAGGTAGAACTTGTAAGTGAAAAAAATATCAACTATTAGCTGCTCAATAACATGATTTTCAATACGATCTAAATACAATGCATTCCGATTCATCGTATTCGATGTGAACGTGGTTTTGCAGTTCTCAATTTTAAAAATGAGTCAATGTCACAAGTTATTCTTTTCTACACTCAACTAAATTATGAGACGAGTGCCTCATTCTGAATTATTAACAACTAATGTTTTCTGTTCATGTTATGATGAATATTATTACCATTAAGAAAAAAATAATGGACTAAAGGATAGTGTGCGAATGGAAAAAAAAAAGAGTTGCAACAGTAATCATTGCTTGAGTCGGGATAAATAAGAAAATGTCACAATTCAATTTGAACTGGTGCGGTGTCGTTGTGTGTATTTTTTAATATTTGGTACGTTACACAATATTAGCAATTCATTTCAAATTGATTGTATATAGTAAAAATTCGCTTGGCATTCCACTTGAGCAAACAAACAAAAAAATAATCACGAAGCTCCCCTAATTGTTTCCATTTTTGTGAGGTATTTCTGTATAATAGACGAGAAAAACAATTAGCGTGCATAAGCACTTGCTCTATACAATATCACTGCATTTAAATGTTGCAATTATTTCGCATACACATTTTTTCATTTCGTTTCGCGCACAACGAATCATATAGTATTGAGTCTGCATTTGATTTGCATTTGATGGCAATAAATTCCGTCCGTTCGGTCGATTAGTACCGTCCATTATTTGAAATCAATTAAATGGCATATTCAAAGCGCGACATTCAATTACCAATTGCTGAGCTGTCATCGTTGTCGTTTCCATTGCTGTTGTCATTGGATTTGTTTTACGGGAATATGAACATTTGATTTGCGCGTTGCTTTCAAGCGACAGTGGGTTGCTTTCTTAAATGCCCATAATTTTAGCGTGTACGATTGGCCTCAATGATAACACCGATGATCGGTAACTCATTTGATCTTAATCGTACATATGTAAAATGTATTTTATTTTTTTTAAATACAAAGTGTGTAAACTCTATAATTCTGAGCAGAACATCTGTTCAAAACATCGTTACGTAGTCATTTTCAATCAATAATTTTCATCACATCGTGTGTTTTGTTGCTACAATTATTGTTTTTTTTTATACGTTTCTCTTTTGGTATCACTGACAAATTGTGTTGTCAACAGATCATTATCCCATATCCCATTGACCGTGCTTACCCAGAGTGGTAAGTGTGGCAGCAGTCGATTTACTGGCAACGATAAGTTTTGTTGTTGTTCTTGTGTAAAATGTAAATGGCTTCACATTTTTTTTTAAAGATACACACTCCATGATGATTCAACACACGATGTACAGTGCTGTCCGCTGATATTTAATGTGTGTTGATTGTTGCATCTTGTTACTTTTTAATTTGTATGGTGCAAATATCAGAAGCTTGTACCATTCATTTCTGCCACCTTTTCTCAATTAACTCTCTCCCTCTCTTTGACATCTTATCTCTATCTTTCAATCGCATCGCATCTCATCGCATAACAAGTCAATTAATATAACTTAATAAAAAAAAAATCCAAGTGCAAAGCACACATTCTAAATACATTGCCGGTGATATAATTAATTTAAGGCCGCATTCGAACACTTGAACACTTGCATTTTATGCAGTTATTACATAGAAATCTTTACGATCATGGGAAACTAAACGAAACATGTACGAACTATTTCATCTAAATTTACATCGTTTTTCATTTCTCTCGCTTGCTGCCAATGATTCTTTGGCACATTTTCTTCGTTTTGAATTGATTTCACTTGTTTTTATCAATTAGTGGCTCTTTCTTCTTCTTTGATCCAATCAAATTAGAACAAACACATCGAACGCATTGTACCAATTAGAGATTTACACCACGAAACAGAATCATACATAATTCCAAAGTGTATCATTATTTCTATTATGGTGCATATTTTTCTGTTGCGATAAATTTAGTGATTGAGTCACTGTTTCCATTGAGTTTCTGCCAGAGGATCCAATGGGGCACCAGCCCGAAAATATTTCGGGCCGAACACATTGTGAGTTCGGATTTTTTTTACTTTTTCGGACGTTCAGTGCGATGGGAAAGATTGTACTTATATTTCACTTAAGATTGTACTTTTTTTTGTACTTTTTTTTTATTTGTTAAAATTGTTAATTTACTTGTTTGATGAAGATTTCGAATGAAATTCGAATCGTTTTTTTCTTTGTGTACCCAAAAAAAACCTTTGTTTACCCAAAAAATGTGAAATCCCTGACTCCAAAAATTAATTATACTTCGAATTCCCGGGTCGGATTCCAGGACAGAACGGGACCACTCGGTCTGACCTTGGCTAGATTTTTCCGCCCATCTGTGACCTCCAAATCTTTCTTCATTCACTTCCACTAGTTCTCTACTGTCGATAAATTTAGTCTTGTGTTCAATAAAGAGTAAAATCTAGTCTGCTTGTAAGTGTTAAATTCATCTGAAAGTCTTGTCTTCCCCTTCTCAAAAGATTTCACTGTCATAAATCATTTGTTTCATTTTGTGTAGAAATATGAGGTCTTGACTCGAAGATCATAAGCCATATGTGTTCCTGCAACAACAACAACAAAAATACCATACACACATTTACAGCTATATTGATTTTTGTGCTTCAGTAATTTTTTATTGAAAATCAGGAGTAATGTTGAAAGAAAAAAGTAATCACAAATCATGTGTAGATACATTTGCATAGCGTACAGTAAATATACGATACAGTGTTGAAGCAGCAACAAAAACGATATAAGGAGTATTGCATTTTTGTGATGGAAGCGTCTCTTTTTTCTTCGGTTTGGCAAAAATCCATTGGAATTTATTTATGAAAGACGCGAGTAACACAGATATTCTTCGATCATGCCAATCTCTTTTTTTCCATTGGATAATTGCACAGCAGGTCGTAGTTGCTCATGTTGTAAACTGAGCAGAAAAAAAATCGGTTCGTTTGGATTTTTGCTGGAGCTTGAGTTAATTCGGTTCGGTGACACACAAAACATTGAAATATTTTTGTGCGTACATGATCCCGGTTGTTGTTTTTTTTTTTTTTTGTTCGTACTGATTCGCTGTACCTTGCCACAACACATTTTCCTTTTCGTTTACCTTTGATTGCAGGCCAAGCCATACAAACCGATAAAATGTAATAATAACTAATAAGGACCATTAATAACGATCGACCCATCAATTCATTCGTAGTTGTATACAATATGATAAAGCTACAATAAAATCCACATATTGGTATTTAATCGGTATTTTCTGATTGCAATAATTTTAGTTTCGCTTTCGGAAAACAATTCAATGTGTCTAGAGAAGTCTTGCACCGGGTGATCTTTTCTCATTCAATAAACCGTTTGCTTGTTCTTCTTTGCATTATGACAAATTTCAAGTGAATCGAGCGTCGTAAATAAATATGAACATCGTTAATATATTTTACGATAAATAATGTGTGTCATTTGCTCGCATTTATATTCGCATGCAAACGATTCAGAGATCGAATGATAACCGAAATGAAATGGAATTTTTTTTAAATATCACCCAAGAAAACAGATCGTTTTATGATTAATCGATTCATTTTTGTGAACAGAAAGAGAGAGAGAGAGAAATGAATGGAAAAATGTCGCATGAATATTAAACCATCGACCATTTTGTATACCATTTATGCTGTATAAAATGCTTCAATTATTCATATAGTTTTTTTTCTTTCATTTTGATATTTAACTAAAATGAGAGCTGTTGTCTCTTTTGGCAAAATTATAATATCGTTGGGCACATTTTTTTGGCACAAAGTCGAATGGGTCTGTGTATTTTTCGATTTCAATGCGAGTAGATGTGTGCGGTGCGATAAAGAAATCTCATTCAATGTTTTCCAATATATTGAATTGTGCCGTTTTGGCGTTTCGTTACCCAACCAAGATTGGATCTATAAAAGTAATAAGAATGCACATTAATTACATGGAATAACGATTTTTTTTTTGTGTTGTTGTTGTTCGATGAGGGCATCCTTATAATTTGAGTTCAGACCAATTTAACTCATAAAAGTGTGTTTCTCTTCTAAATAAGAATTCGTAAAAAAAAACTGAACAAAACACGAAGACGGATACGAATAAAACCACATCGAATAACAATAACAACCGAAATGATTCCATCATAAAAATTCGAGTACAATGGAGTTTTCGAGCATTGGTTTGTATTGAAAAATCAATGAGAGCAAGAGAGAGAGAGAGAGAGAACATCGTGCTGCCATCAAATCGACGCGCTGTGATCATATTTATTGCACCGTTGAAGCGTAATTTCTTGTAAGTGTGTATGAGATCACACAGCAGTGCAATAAATCGAAAAATATTAAATGCTCAAAAATGATTTTTACTACAAGATATTAAACAGCAATATACAGCAACCAGTTCAAATTGGCTTAGAAGATCGATTGCTTCACATACACACACACACCATCTTTTAATTTTTGCTGTCTCGCTTGCTCGGCTGCACAACAATCGATTCAATATGACTTGTATTGGCTCGCATTGGATCATATAGTCGCTCATTTTCAATCGGCCGTAACGAAATATTCTCTCAGTCTATTGATCGGTATGCGTGAAGTCGTAAATTGATTGCTGTGTTTGATGGTTGCACTGCATTTTTGACGGTACATTTTGTGTTCTAATCTTTTGAATACAATATACCATTCAATATGTGTATGAGCTTGAAAGAGAGCGAGATCAGGAATCGTTAGAGATTGGTTCAGGAAAATAATTTATTAGAGTTTTACAACCGATTTTTACTGCGCTCCAACTCAGCACCATGTGTGATGTGTGGCTGTGTGCAAAATTGTTGAAGAAGAAGAAAAAGAACCATACAGCAGGAGAATAATGAAAATAAATCGATGCATATATGATTTTATCGATGTGAGAATTGTATCAATCAACCAATGCGCAGAGGTAGCGCTTTCGTTTATCTCTTTTTTTGGAATTATAATCATTTTGATCAGGTTCTGACATTTTTGAAATGCCGATGATAGCTTAAGCTACTGGTACTAACAAATCAAAGCTCGTAAATGACTTGTCTCTGTTCAAATTTGCTCATAGAACGAACAAACATACTAGACATTTTATTTGAGCAAAAACTCGATGAACTTTCTTTGGTCGCAATTTGCATAGCTGTGTAAATGTAGCCATTAAAAGCTAAACACTTCAATTGATAGTTTTTGTTGTGATAGTTTCATACTTTTCAAATTAATATAAGACTGATTTTTTGTGTATATTGGCAGGTTCCCGTGAGGCAGCATTTACATATGCCATATCAAGTGCGGGCGCTGTGCACGCAATTACGGCTGCATGCGCTCGGGGTAATATCTCATTGTGCGGTTGCGATTCAAGCATTCGACTTCAGTTGCCATATGCAAAACAATTGGAACAGCATCAACAAACTTGGAAATGGGGTGGCTGTTCGGCAGACATAAATTTTGGTATGAAATTTGCACGGAAATTCTTCGATGCGCGTGAAATTGAAGGTGATGCCCGAAGTCTCATGAACTTGCATAATAATCGCGCCGGCCGAAAGGTATGTGTAAAAAAAATAATATTATTCTTAATTCGTCTCCATTTAAGTCCACTTGCCGTATACAGTATTTTTATGTTTTAAGTTTTCAAAGAGTTCGGTTCGTTTGCTACAAGAAAATGATGGTTTCAGACTTTGGTATGTAAAACAATAAGAACCGAACAACAAACGTGTAAATAAAAAAAATAAAAAATTATGTAGAAGAAGTGTCGAAGCTATTGTGTTAATAAATCAATGCAGAGCAATGAATCGATTATTATTACATGAATATGGTGTAAACGAAGGAGAATGGAAAACAGCGAAATTGGTTTAGTTCGTGATGTGCTCTTTCGAACTTCACGCAAAATATGATATGGTGGTTTGGCAGTGGTGTCGGCATGCGTTTATCATTCATCGTACATGTTAATTCGATTTCATGTCATAAATAACCGAAAATATGCGACGCATATTCCGAAAAAGAGAAAGAAAAAAAACACCACATCTATAGAAATCATATTACTTGAAAAACAAATTGCAATGAACAATTATTTACCGTTATTTCGTTGAATACCGAATACATCACATAATATTCGACTTTTAATCATCATTTTCATCCTTTCACGTGCACACTTGAAAAAAATTCATCGTCAATTGTATTTCTTCTCACTCTCTTCCTCTTTCACTCATTGTTTTTCTTCTCTCATTTTAGTTGGTGAAAAATTTGTTGCGAACTGATTGTAAATGCCATGGCGTAAGTGGATCATGTGCAATGAAAACGTGCTGGAAGAGTTTGCCGCCATTTCGTGTCATCGGCGATGTACTTATGAAAAGATACCACAAAGCCAAAAGTGTTGAGGCCGTTATTGATCGGCATGCAACACGCGCATCGGGCCTACACAATGAAAACAATTTAAGTTTAGTTATAAAACGGTGAGTAGTTCATTTTTCTCTTGTTATCTACCCAATTCAAAATGCGGAAAATTGTTTTTTTTAATTGATTTTACGTTTTTCATCTCTTTCTCTCTCTTCCTCTGCCTTTCATGTGTTGCTGTTGTTATTTATAGCGATCGAACGACCTCACTGCATGGTAATCGCCGTAAATTTGAAACACCGAAACGCTTAGAGCTCGTCCATTTAGATCCATCGCCGCAATATTGTGAACGAAATTTGAGCACTGGATCGCTTGGCACCGTTGATCGGCCATGCAATCTAACCGCACATGGTCTGAATAGTTGTGATCTATTGTGTTGCGGTCGTGGCCATAATATTCATCAATTCAATAGAAAATGGCAGTGCCGATGTAAATTTAAATGGTGTTGTGAAGTTCAATGTGATATTTGTCATGAACGCATAGAACAGTATACCTGTAAATAGTGCATAAGAACAACTGAAATACAAAACAAATAAAAAAAAATTGTAGCAACGAAAATGAGAGAAAGGAACACACACAAAACAAGAAAACAAACGAAAGCACTTTCATACAAATGCTACACCACCTCCCCATAAAATGCCAAACTTAAACCGAAACCGATTACTCATTGTGGGCAGAATGACCGCGAACCGAAAACGGGAATGATGAGATTTCATTTAGTAGAGTGACAAATTATAACAAAAAATGAGATGATAAATTGTAAATAGAAAGAGCTTAGATTTTTAAATAATTGAAATGGCATTCAGTACTTAAGAGGGACAGACAGATTAAAATGATTGATGGAAAGAAAAATTGATGAAAGGCATCCCATTTCAAATTAGATCGTAAGCCATATACGTAATTAAAGTTTTAAATTTATCAATTTTATTTAATAAAAATTTGCGAATTGATTTTTAAGTAATTTGATTGAGCATTTTCACTTTTCTCCTTAAAAATTATTTTTCTATGTGGATAGATTGGCGTCTCCATCGAATACATTGGTTAGACGAATGGCAAAGGACATTTTACTGCCATCTATTAACAAATTTAAAGACAAGTCATTTTCAAACATTTTGTTTTTATTTCGTATTGAACACATCAAACTGGAATTTTTCAGGAGCATTATAACTATGATTAAAAAAATTAAAATGTTTTGGAAATTTTATCATTTCTATTGCCATTTATTTATTTTAATTAAAATTCAAATAAAATTAATCTCGAAAATATGTTTCTGGGCAATGGTATGCTCTTATGTCTTTTTAGTATATTTTTTTTATTTTTATTTATTCATTTCTTTTTAGTTTTAAAAAAATAAACCTGAAAAAAAAAAACGCGAATGCTTACAAAAAGGTTGAATGTCACATGTAATTTAATTCCGTTCGCGTAATCATGAGCTAATTTAAATTCCTTCAATATTTGAATGAGTTTTGCAAATGATTGTTTATGGTTGGTGCATGATCGAAAAGCTTCTATTCGTGATGACTTCCGTTGGCCGTATATATGTGTGAACCGTGCTTTTACATATTTCAGTCAATACCGCAATCTAATAATGGATTTCGAGCGGTATCGATAGTGAGACGGTAAATGAGTGGAAGGCATATATGGTTCGAAAAATGCATTTTAATTCATAATAGAGATCCATAACTAATTCAGTCTGTTGGTTCTGGTGGTTCACACAATCGTTTGCACACACATATACACATATGAATAATCGACACACACACACACGATGGCAGCCACTCATAAATGATGATGACGAGTATGATGGTTTGGTGGCGAAAATGTGATGTGTTGGTGCGTGAATAGTCACGTTCGCTTGACGGCTTTTATTGCGCATATGCATGCTATGGCATACGTATAGCTTTTTTTTGGGAAAATTAAACTTTTTCATTGATCCCGTTTTCGAATCTATCGCCGAATGGGTCGTAAAATGTGTGTGTATGTGTGAGTATTGTTGTCGATGATGTGCTTACTATGTGTGTGTATCATGTGTAGAATGTGTGTACATTATAATGCACGCTTTTATGCGCTCATCGTATCGTTGGAAAAATTTACGCTGCCGCGCATACGCACACCACAGCAAAATTCGCCTCTTTTTTTTCTCAATCACCCGTATATATTATCAATGGGTCCATATCTGCGTCTCGCTTGCTCATTCTCTCTCATTCATTTCGTTTCATTTTTGGTTGTATCTCATCGCCTCTCACTGTGCAATATACAAATATTTGTAGCGCGTGTGTGATAGTGTTTGTCGGAGAGTTTTTCCGTTCAAGTTTTCCATGTAATTTTCTCTCTGGTGAAAAATTCGAAAATTCGTGTGTAAAGCGACGGCAAAGGCAACGGTAGTAAATCTTGTTAAAACGACAAAAAAAAATTCTATGTCGATTTCCGTCGCGAGAATCTTTTGGAATTGGACTAAAGAAAAGAAAGTTAAAAAAGGAATAAACCGAACAACAACAACCGTACACCACACAGAATATCGTAAATTTATTGTGAAATTTTGTTTGATAAAATAGTTTTGAAATAAAAAAAAAATTGCGATAAGTGTGTGCGTATGTAGCGAAATTTTCTTTTCCTTTTGTTAGAATATTTCCTGTGTTGCGTTGAGAGTGGTATAGAAAATTAAAAAAAAAAGATAAAAGGAAATGTTAATGCGAAGAGTTGATTATAGATTTGTGATTTATATAAGTGAAATGACGTGAAGAAGCCTAAGCGAGAACGAATTAAACTAGAGAGTTACATCCAGTGGTTACAACTAAATGAGAAGAAAAATCTGAGCAAAATCGATAATAAAATTCAATACGCAAATGAGCTGAACCAAACCAGAATCCACAACATAGAAAACAAAAATAAAATCGAAGGCGAAACAAATTTGTACGCGAAATTGTTTCACGAAAGAAGGAAAAAAACGTTTGTGGTGAGAGTGAAAAGCGACAAAAGTACGAAAAAAAAAGAAAGCAAGTTTTAAATGTTGACATCAATTAAGCAACAGGAATGTGTATGAAGTATAGACGAAAGAAAAAAAGTTTCAGTTTAATTGTGAATGAATAATTTGGTGGAGCTGGATATTAAAATCAAGCAAAATCAAGAGTCACGAAGGAAAAGTAACGAACACATTTGCCATATCCTGAGAAATCTCGTTCAATGCGAGCGGTAGTGAATGTGTCATTTTAGCACGATGATGATGGTGGCAACACAAGAAATTTATCAGCATTAACAGGCATTGTGAGCGCACATAAAGAGAGATAGCGTGAAAACGAAGGATTCTTTACACACAATTGAAAGTCCCCCTCCCATCCCGCTCGAACACACAATCAACTGTAAATTAGAAAAACATTCGCCAAGTGAAGTCGGTGGTTTATCTGCACAATAATGATGTAAAGATCAATAGCTTTAGACCATAGCAAAAAAAAACAAACATACAACCAAAACTAAAAAAACAAACAGACAGACCAAAAAACAACAACAACCAAAACTTATATTCACTAATTTGTTTTTAGTGTATTAGCCATTATTCGTGATACATATATACATATATATTCATATATAGAGAGAAATATTTGAAGCATATTTTCCTTAGAACAAATCATCACAAGGTTTTGTGTTCCAAATGTAAGCATTTTCTGTGTAATTCATTCTAGTTATTCGTTTTCATTTAATTTCGCTTATATTTTTCTTGTTCCCTTTTTTTGTCACAAATATATATATTTGTGTGTTTTTTCGTTGTTCATTTCGGCATTAGAGTCTCCAATTCAATACCTTTTTCACTTCTTATCGTTACGCTTAGTTCATGTTCGTGGTAGTTTGTGGTATTGTTTATTTGCCACACCATTCAATTGTACATATCTAGTTTTGATTTGAAGACCGTGCACATTTTTTTTTTGTTTCTTCCACCCATCAATATTTGTCACATTGACAATTCATTATAGTATGAGCATGAAATTGTATGAAAGCGTGTCGCTTCGATAAATAGAGAGATAGAAATTGAGCAAAAAAATGAAGAGAAGCGAACGCAGAATCGATTCTTATCATATTATACATTTGTTCGAATGTTGTGTAAGGTTCGAGTAGCTCTGATCGCTTTGAATCCTTTTCATTTAACTACACACTGTCAACTAGAAGAGAAAAATAAAAAACTATAGGCCACTAAAGTAAAAGGCATGACATGGAAGCGAGACCAATGACAGAAATCGATAAAAGTCATTAGGGAAAAAAAAGTAAAGAAAATCAAAGAAGAAGAAGAAGAAGTAAAACGAAAACACTCTCTCATACACACATACACATACATTGACACAACAGCCACCAAATTGTGAACAAATATAGCATATTTTCAATTGATATGCTTGTCATTAGAGGCAACAAACATTGAATGTTCACGAAACTCTCGTCGAGAGGAAAAACTCGAGAATTATTTTTTTATATATATACAACAAATACCATTGTTTCACATTGTTTCGTGCATGTGTATGTGATTTTCCTTTAAATATTGTGTCTCATAACGTATATTTCATTCGACAATCCGATTTTATTTTGCTACTACAGCAGCTAGTGCTGTTAGTAGTGCTTCGTTTCATTGCTTGCCATTTGTTTCGACGTCGTCGTCGTCATTGTCATCATCGTCGCCTTTTTTGCTCCATGTTTTCGGATGCCAATGAACGCAATTGACATATAAAATGGAAAAGGCACCTGTAACTTTTCAACTGAATTGTGCTAATATCTTGGCATCACGTCATTTTCCCAACATTTAGTATTTACTCAATGGTGAAAAATATATTTCGTATTTTTTTTTTCATCTTTGTTCCGGTGACAAATACAAACAAAACCTCGCATTCCCGTTTCATTTTCGTACGTTCCCTTTTTTCAGTATTCAATTTGTGTGTACGCTCCCAATTATTGAGGCTTAAAACGAATACACGACACCGAATTACCTGTGTGTTTTTTTGGGGTTTCTAAGAAATGCCGTTATTTTAATTGTCTTTTGTCATTTGGCCCAATTCATATAACCCCATTCAAGAATGAACTCAAATTGGTCTAACATTGACAAATACATTGCAAACAGTTTATCCATCGTGTGTGTAGGTGCTGCGATTGATATTTCGATATGTGCAATAGCATTCATTCATATAGCTGTAGTTTTCGCTGAACATGCTTTTGCTGTTCATTTCTTTTTTTTATATTTGTTAAACCAATTTTCATTATCTTTTTGGTTCTTCAAAATTGAATCAAGTTTGAGGTCTTTCACACGAACAGTGTTATTCTTTTGTTCAATAATTACATTATACATGGCACCAAGTGTAAATGTGTAAATGTAAAGTTCTTAGAATCGTTAAGAAGTTCTCTGCACACGTTGAAATCAATACATATGCGCAGATGCTTACGTACACACTCACATTCATAAAATACTCCAATTCTCTTCGGATTTTCAACTCTCTGTCTCTCTCGCTTGCTCGTTTTCTGTATTTCTCGCCTTTACTGTTTGGAAGTGACGATGAATGTACGATTTTCCAGCAAATGATGACTTTTCGCAGAAATTTCATTACAAAATGTTCATGACTAAAAATGTTTCACAATCTCCACTGTGAGTTGTATTGGCATGAAATGCTCTGTAACAACTGAGATACGGTAAAATCGAGTTCGAATCGGACATAGTAACCGGGTGAGAAAAAAAAGTTGCAACGAATGGAAGACAGAATGTGAATGAACGAGAGTGTGTATGTCTTGCACGAAGTTTAACTTTTTTTCTCTAGTTTTTTTTTTTGTTCATATCAAATTTCTATTGAACTTTTTCTGAAGCAATCGGTTTTTGTTCGGTCATCGTCAATAGAAAAAAGGTTCAACAAGACGAAATTTATTTGATGGGAATTTTTTGACCTATAGCCTCATTTTTTTTGCATTAAATTTTTATCGGCATTGTATTCAAAGAGGCTGCACACATATGCATCCCCACATATGACCACGCACACTGAGGCCACACATCATTGGATTGTATGTGCTTGGATTTTTAAGAAATTTATATATTATTATAATAAAACGGTTTGTAACCATTCGATGGCGTCGATTTCGATTTTTCCCCAATCATTTCGCACATGTCTCTCGTCACACATACCAATTGAAAAAATCGATAATTACATCCGAAAATAATACACACGATTCTGTCTCGCGCGTTCCCTATGTATAAGTGTGCATATTTGTATGTGTGTGTATGTGTTCTGGTGTTTGCGCGCGGGGCGCGTACTATATTTACCGTTTTGGTAGTGGAGGAATCTATGAATAGACACATTTACATGTATTGTGGTATTGTGAACAGAAGAACAAAAAAAAATCTCCACTCACAAGCGGGAGCAAAACTTTAAGCATACACCGTCACCATTGCGAACATGGACATTTATAATCGGAGTTTAGCTCAAAAGTCCAATATATTATATGTGTGTATTCGCGTACAGTATATAACATGCTCAACATCAACTGTCACTTTTAACGCTCGCCACTATCTTTTCAAGTATACGGCCCAGCATTATCTAATAAGTTTGAGCGTTGCATATCATTCGGCTTCGTGTACACATATTTCCAACAAATAATGTGTGAATATGTGGAGTTTTTTTCATTCTTTTTTTTCGATCGTACTTTCACATTAACAAATCCCACACTAATTCAACTATCTGTCGTTCTCTGTGCACTTTTCTGCTCATATTTCCGGAGTAGAGCTTGCATTCCATTTTTTGACTTTATGCCATATTAATTTGCCATTTCCGTTGATTTATAATTCATTTAAAATGCCGATTACCAATAGATTTGTTGTTTGTTTGCCGAACTTTTTCGTACGAAACGAAATCAATAAATTATTTAATCAAAATTTAATCGGATTTTATGCTCTCTCTCTATATATATATCACGCTTTTTTTCGTTATTGTTTGTTGATGTGTCGTTGTATCGTGCAACTTTTATAAATACTTAAGTTCAATTCATAATATACACTCATGCTTGGTAGCTGCTTTTTTCTCTTTTCATTCTATATTTATTTTCGAATTGTGTCATTTTTTATTATTCATTTTAAAAAAGCATATTTAGCATTCATGAATCTTAATCAATTATTTATTCGTCGGCTTGATTTTTTTTATTCGAGTCTATTTAAACGAAAAAAAAAACTGAAAAACAATCATTTAAAATAGTCACAAGCGTATGTGACTTTATTTTATTGACTAAATCGTTTGGTATTTTTGGTATTTTCTCTCAAATTGGTCCCAATTATAGGTTAGACCGCGCCTGTGTCGCGGTATATTATGTCTCGAGAACCATACAATTCAGTTGCAGCTGCTAATTCTGGTACACGAAGTCCTGGAACCGGACCAATTCGTTCAACTTCTACCAGACGCATCACTGAATTGCCAACGGTAGATCGATCACCCTCTCGAGATTACGCAACACGTGGCAGTCCCTCTGGTAATTAATATGCATACACACACAAAATTCATTTATTATTTACATTACCGTTCATGATTGCTTTCAATTATAGCTCATATTTACATTTTATTTTTGTTGATTTAAAATATTTTCAAATGAAAATTCAATGAAAAAAATGAAGAAAAGAACAAATCATTTTTATAAGTTTTCAATTGGCACGAATTGATTTGCATTTCTACTTTCTTTCTTTCTTTCTTTTCTCTCTCATCATTTTTGCGTTGTCCCTTCAAATAAAAAACCACACACACACACACACACTTACACACTAATCATCATCATCAAACCCATGTCATTTCCATCGCATGACCGTTAAACTCAAACCGCATTCCAGTGTTGCAAGATAGGCTGTATAAGATACCACAATTGTATAAACTTTCACATACATCGGTTCGTATAAAATATCTTAAACTTGTATTCCATATATAACAAAAAAAACCAGCGATATTAATTTTGTCGAATTCGATCTTATAAATCAATTTTGTTTGATTTTTCTTTTTAATTTTCATTTTACACTTGTATAATGAAATGTCGTACCATTATAAAATGTATGCCATAATATGTCTTCCAACGCAACGAATCAATGCTTATCATTTTGCAATACTGGAAAAATGCCCACATAAAAATTAAAAAAAAAAAAAAAACAATATCATCACGCAATAAACAATCATCGTTACAAAAACGAAACCAAAATTACAAACAGTCTGTGCGAACATTAGAAAGGCAATCACGATCTGGCGGTGATAAAAATTCACTAAATTATATAACGCCAGTATTCGCTCAGAATCGAGGTCGATTCATATCAGACAAAGAGTTATCAACCCGACCATCGTTCGTTTTTGATCAAAATCAACGTTATACTGATTCTGTTGCAGCAACAATGGGAAGTCCGTACTATCGAGATATGGATGAACCGACTAGTCCAGCTGGTGGTGCACATCATCGTAGCCGAAGTGCAAGTCGGCCACCGATTTCACATACCATGGATTATCCGCGTAAGTGTCGTACTTTTTCAAATCTCTCACTCTATCTATGTTTCAAATTTCTGCCTCATGTAATACAATTTCATTTCGATTTCGAATTTTTCTCACAGGAACACGATATCAGTCATTAGATCGAGGTGGTTTAGTTGATGTACATGATCGTGAATTCATTCCAATTCGTGAACCACGTGATCGATCAAGGGATCGTTCACTTGAGCGTGGCCTCTATTTGGAAGACGAACTATATGGTCGTTCGGCACGTCAAAGTCCGAATCCGTTAAATATGGCGGCCAGCGATCGCGGTTATCTGGGCGATTTACAACATCAGCAAACTGATTTGCAGCGCGAATTAGGCACATTAAAACGTGAATTGGAACTGACAAACCAAAAATTAGGTAGTTCAATGCATAGCATTAAAACATTTTGGTCACCTGAGCTAAAGAAAGAGCGAGCACTTCGAAAAGAGGAAAGTGCAAAATATAGCCTTATTAACGACCAATTAAAATTGTTGAACAGTGAAAATCAGGTGAGCATTGTACCCAATCAAATGGTTGATGGACCGCACACTCGAAATCATTTTTATAATTGTTTTCCGTTTTTTTTTGTTTTCCAAACAAATTAAACCAAACTTTGAAAATTTGGTATAGAAACAAGCAATGTTGGTCCGACAATTAGAAGAAGAGCTTAGAATGCGAATGCGTCAGCCAAATATTGAAATGCAACAACAGATAGAGGCACTTTATTCCGAAAATGAGCATCTACAAAGAGAAATAGCCATTCTTAGAGATACAATTAAGGTGAGCAATAAATGAACTTTGTATCCTGTTACAACATTTGATTTTTTTGTTGCTGTGTTTTACAACTTCCGTGTCGTGTTGGGTAAAATCCAAACAAAATACATCATACGAAGAAGAAGAAGAAAAAAATGGTGAAAAACATTTGTCGAATTTAATTGTAATTGGAAAAATAGTTTACTTTGAAGAAAGTTCTCTATGCACATAGTTCATGTTGCCGGTCGTTCGTTGCCAGCAATTGTACCGAAATACCGAACACATATGCATTCACATACACACAAATTGTTTGTCCATAGAAAATGCATAAGCGCACCGCTGAGACCGATTACAAATTATTCATGAAACGAATCTTTTTGGATTGAATCACACAGGCCATAGGCACTAGCATAAATTCAACCTGACTTTTTGTTAACGATATAACGGCTATATTCTCTATTTTCTCACCACATTCTCTCATTTCTTTTTCTCTATCTCTCATTTTCTATGTAATTTACAGGAACTCGAACTGAGAATAGAAACACAAAAGCAGACGCTGGCTGCACGCGATGAAAGCATTAAAAAGCTGCTGGAAATGCTACAAACCAAAGGAATGGGTGAGTTCTGGGTTTTCTTCAATGTGATAATTTCGTCGTATCTGTCCCTTTTTGTTCTTCTTCGCATAACATGCTTGTGCTGAAACCAAAGAAAGAGAGAGAGCGCGATCAACCGAATTGCAGATGAAAATTTTCACTAGAAGTCACATACACTTTCCCCTGTCACTCGCGCTCGTGTTCTTTCTATTTTCATTGCACATATTCTTGGCTACTTAACGCATTTTGCGGCCATGATGGTATAGAGGATAAAAAAAAAACCAACAAATGTGTGTAAAGTACATAAAGTGTGCACCGTGTCACAGTTTCAAAAGCTCGATATAATATATGCCTGCAGATGTTCATTCATTCTATTACTAACACACACAAACATATATACCGAATGTGTGTGTCCCTGTACCCAATTTTAAAAATATATTAAATTTAAATATGAAGGATAATATCCGCGTAGGCGTGAACTATTCACATAATTTTCTCTTTTTTTACACTCATTGCAAATGAATTAACTAATCAAACGATTTTTTTTTCTCTTGCGCCATATATCTATGTTCATCCCACTATCCTCGGCACAGGCAAAGAAGAAGAGCGTCAAATGTTCCAGCAGATGCAAGCTATGGCACAGAAACAGGTAACATTCGCTTCTTTTCTTTATCAAATTGCTCTTTCTCTTTTACTCTTTCTCGTTGTTTTTTTACGTTCATCGTCGTCGTCGTCGTCGTTATTTTTATCATTTGATCTATGTATCTATATATATCTCTCCCATTTTTCACACTGGATTGCTTGAGTTGTATATCCTTCTTTTTTCGTTCTTCAATTCAATTTTCTTTTCGATTTTATGATAATTGATAACATTTTATGGAGTTTCATTCATTCAAACATATATTTATATACATATATAGTTCCTGTTTCATCATTTTTCCATTTTCAATGACATTTTTTTGTGGAAGAAATGACACAGAATTAGTAAAGAAGGCCCATATGTCTCTCTTTATGCATGAACCCATTGTGTTCATATTGCCTGTTTTCATTCTTCATTTTTTTACGTTTTCATTTTCATTCTTCGTCCCATTTTAACCACCCACCCCCTCGAATTTCACCCCATATTCATCATTTAATTTTAAAGCGTTTTCATTAAAACAGTTGCTTTTCGATAATTTTTGACATAACATCATGTTTGCGAAAACATGGTGAACAAGCGCAAACCCAAAGGTGCCATACCATACTCCATATCATTTCTCTATCTCTTTTTATCATCACAGCAAACCTCCATTTATTTTCACATTGTCGATAGTAAAACTATTTATATAATAAATAAAACATCTCATCATAAATGCATTCTATGCATTCCATTTTCGTCCCTATTCTGCCCGCAGAAATTCCACAAATTTGAGCGCTTTTTTTATCTTATTTCATCTCTCTCATTCAAAGTGCCCTATACTTGATATAAATTTCTTGTTTTATTATCGAATTAATAGACATTTTAATCAGAGTATGTGGATTTTATCGTTTCATGTGAATTAAATTTCAAATACACAGATCTATTTATAAATATCTATATATGAAAATGGCATAAAAAAAAGAACAAAACGCAAAACTGCGGTAAATCGAACATACCGCACCAATTATAAAATGCAATTGCAATTTAATATGGTCCGATCACCGCTGATGATGTGTTTTAATTGCGACTAAAGAGCGATAATGTGAATTTAAGCATCGAAACAGGTCACACATTTTTATCGCGGCATTCGTGTTTCTCTTTTTCGTTCATACCGAAATCGGAATGGTACACAGAGAGAAAAAATGCGGTATATTTAATTCAATTTTGGTAGATTTAATATAAAATCAACCAAAAACGAGTTATACTTACCATTTTCGAGATCTATGAGGCATGTCTTTCAAAAGAGACTATTTGTTGAATAAACTTTGCCGACTGCTTCATTACGTTCACCAAATTCATGGGCAAGCGTCATCTGTGGCTTCGAAGAGTTGGTAAATGTTTTTTTTTTTGAAAAACATTCCTCAAAAAAAGGTAAATGTACCAAAATTGAATTAAATATACCACATTTTTTCTCTCTGTGTACAAATCCACCAATTTAAGCTTATTAAACGAACTGAAACTTATGTTCGCGAACTTTTTCGAATATTGAAAGTAGGACAAAAACAAAAAAAAAAATAGTTATAGTTGATGCCAACAATGACGATGAAACTGTTTAAAAGATGCAATATATCAATAGATGATACGGTGTGGACGGTGCTGTTTGATGGTTTAAAAGGCATACACAGACACATAATCGACAAAATCTGTCATACAACTGGTTAAACATTTGGCACCTGGCGCTTGCCATTCACCGTGCACTCAAGCATACCATTCAACAACGTTAAATAACATAAAAGTTTAATCGGTTGCCGCTCAAAATTCATGTCGGCATTCGTAGAATGTTACACTGCTGAATTGCTGATGCTGATGATAGTAGTGGTGTGTATTCTGAGTGTGTCAAATGAGGGCGCTTTCAATAGAATTTAATTGAAAAAAAAAGGAAAATGTTCACGCATAACCCGGCGTATATACATAATCGAATAGATTTCAATGGAATGTATGCACTAATGAATGATCGCATGCAATGGATGAAGGAAATGACACACATTTCTAGGGTAGGATATGAATATTTTACATTTTAAAGGTGCCAATCATCGTCGAGTTAAACAAGATGAATTGGTTCGCTGTTGATGCGCGCGTGCATCTCTGTGTGGAATTCATTGAACGAAACAATATTTAGGACATGCAATTCAAATTATATTTTCCTTCTTCTTTTTTTTTGGTTTCAAATGTCATTTTTACAACGCAATCGTTTGGCACAGTATGAGCATATAATATGCGAGCCAATAACGTTCTCTCTCTCTCTCTATCACGTATACACAGAGAGAGAGAGAGAGCATTACTCACGTGTGCGCGGCGCGTGGTGCGCTTTTCTCTCTCTCTCTATGTGTGTATTGCAATGAATGTATGAAAAAGGATCGACTAGTATACGCGACAATGGCGTACTATGAAGCGAGGCACACGAATAAAAAAAGCACATACAACAACGCTAAAGGCTCGCACACATATATTACATACCGAATGTGTGTAAATGTGAAGAAAAGTTGTTGGATTAAAAGACAAAAAATGAATAGAAGAAAATCAAACTAGAATTCGTGCCGAACGAATGGATAACCACACAAATACACATGAATTGCGGAGGGAATGCGAAAAAGTAATGCCCGTTCATCGGTATATAGTGTACAGATGTGTGTGTGGGAACACACAAAGAAAAATGTTTCTTGCTTGCGCGTATTTGTGTTGTATGTTTAAGTGCACAATTCTGCATCTAAAATCGTTTGCTTGATGGGGAAATAGAATAGTATACGTTGTTGGCACACATAAAAGCTGCATACAATTTGTAGTGCGTGCACATTCTCAATGAAATGACGTACACTTCGTCAGAATTTTTGAGTGTTGGCGAATGAACGACCGAAAACACACAACGAACCACCAAATTGTGAAGCAAACGAAAAGAAAAGAAAAAGCAACAAAACACACTCCACCCGTGTTGTATTCACACACACACACACAAGCACCCTCCCTCATACAGCATTTTGTTGTTATTTTCGGTGGCCGGTAGATTAAAGAGCGAAGCAAGAGAGTGTGTTGTGTGTTGGCGATCGAAGAAGATGGAAACACTCCAAAAAACACGATTTTTTTTCTCAGTTTGTCTCTGTGACTAGTTCACAAAGTGTGCACTACTAAATTCCTTTTTCATTGATCGTAAAAAAGTGCATCGCGACCGACAATTGCGAATCGAATGAAAATTATGACATCTAATATGCAGAAAAAAAAAAAATAATAATTGTGTATAATTAACTCGACGGATCAATCGAATCAAAAAAGATAATTCAGTTCGTGTGTGTATGTGTGCAAGTGTTTTGAGTGCTTTTGTATGTATGTGACTGAATGCGATGGTGACGGTTCATTATCTATCGATATGTATATATCACATTGGTATAAAGTAATTAGTTCAATAGGTCGATTATATGATCTCTTTTGAGAGAAACAATAAATACATCCCATACATTCATAATGTAAAACAATGAAAAATTTCATATCAAAAAAAGAAATTTTCAAATAAAAATTGCGAATCGCCATGAATATAAAATCAAAAAAAAAATTGCCTTGCCAATATACGCTATCGATATGAATATAGAAATATATGTAAGAGAACATTTCCGACCGAATCATAACAATGGTTTTCAGTTATAAAAGCTTCAAAGGATTGAAAGTTATATCGATTGTGCTTTAAAGTGCCTAGTGTCGTATCGAGGTTGTGCATTAACAATTGAGTGTGGGACGGGGTTAGTGAAACGATTCACACTAACCAACATTTGTTGTTGTTGTCTTTTTTTTTCTAATTAAATGGAATTTTGTATAGTTTGGTAGTGAATCAAGCGCAAATAAAAACGAAAAAAAAAAATGGATTACTATCACGGTATCGGAGGTGGTGGTGGCGGTATTGGTAGCGATACCACCTTTTTACAAATGCTAAAAAAATACAATTCCGAAAATGTAAGTGTCACAAATAGAAGACGAAAAACTCTAATTTTATTTTCATTTAATATAAAATCTGATCTGTTCAATTCACATCTCAATGAAACGATAAAAATTCATTCAACGAAATTCGATATAAAAAAAAACATGCTATTCTCTCTTTCACTGTCTCTTTTTACTTCGACACTCTGATTTTCATCATTTTGTATTCGCCTTTTTTTTGTTTAATGTGTTTCGCAATCGAAAGTGTGTGGTGACACCTTCAACCAATCCATGCGTTGAACTATTTCAATTTATATGCACATTTTGTGCACGCTTTAAGTTAACACACTAAAAACGCTTATGAGTCTTTCGTTAGAGCCGATACATTGCAAAAAAAAGAAAAATCATCCCTTATCCATTTCATACACATATTCCGTTCACTGTACGAAAACATTTAACACAACAATTCATCTCTCATTTAATTTCACCCGAAAAATCACATTTCAACGCCTGTTTTATTTAAATGTTTCAAAGTGATTCATTTATTCATTCATTTCTATATCTTTTTTTTTGTTCAGTTGATTTTATATGAATCTAAGGTCTGTTGATGAGACGTTGAAAATAAGCCATTGGAATGCTCAAGAAGTCATTCGGAATGCATTTAAATGCATTTTTTTTATTATCCGTTTTTAAAAATGTCAACATAATATGAATTTCATAAGCTCAAATGTCGGTCAAAGAGCAAAAATAGGAGTGAAATGTATTTTAAATTTGTTTGAAAGAGCATCTCATCAACGGTACTTTATGATATTTTGTAACTATAAATATTTACTATATTATGACAAGTAGAATCTTCTGCTCTGTTGAAAGCTTTTCTTGAAATTAGCTTATCATCAATTTAAACAACCGATTTATTTGGCGAAAGAATTATAAGACAATCAAGTGAAAATATATTAACTAACGAATAAAAACAAAACAAAACAAACACATTCGAAATGAATAATACTAATTTTGTGTTCACATTGAACAAAAAATCAAATAAATAATAAGTAAAGTAAGAGGAAAAT